CAATTTTCTATTCAACAGTTTTCGTAAACGTGACTTCAGTTTTTACGCAATGCAATCGATAGTTTGTTTAAAGCAATCAGGTAAATTTACGATGCTGCTGTTACGCGTATTGCTTACACCAATGGTTTCGGAACGATTGAATGTTATCCAAGGCGTTTTAGCGTGATTGGATGCGAGTCGACGAGAGATTGTACGCGACGATCGAGAGAACGCGCATTGCAGAGAAAACGACGATGCAAAGCGATTTCGAGACTTAGACGAGAGAGAAAAGGGGAGGGAAGATACAACGATTAGAAAGGGATGCCTGATTAAACGTGATCTTTCAGGCGTACCGTTATTCTCTTTTGAAAACGATCGGAACTGATCGAGCAAGCCGTAAGTATTTCAGGAATCCGAAATGTAGGAATGAGAATTTCGAGATTATACCATAATTACCTTTCAGTCAGATCTCTGAGAATTTGAAGAAAATCTGTGGCTTTTATTAAAAGAGACAATTTTTAACTTTACCTTGATATTTCAATGTGAACATTAAGTTTTTGTAAAAAAATAGAAATTTTTTCGTGTTCATTTGCAAAACAGTATTGATATGGAGCAGAAAAACTTTAATAAGTTACAATATAATCCTTAATATTTTAAGTACATTTAAGATAATTATAAAGTAATTATGAAGTAAAAATAAATATAAAATATTATCAGTATCCTCAATGAATACGCATGTTGAACCATGGTCCATGAGTTTTAACGGAGTTGATAAGTAAACTCGCGCGCACTCTCAATTCCGAGCTAACATAATAATCGTTAATTGCGCAGACTTTACACACGGCTTGAAAGTTGTAATGGCGCTTAGTTTCGTTTAGAGCCATTTGCGCGACCGGAACGTGGCGCCATTAGAAAAACTTTGCGATTTAACACTGCTGCACGGTTGTGATTCTAAACGACGTATTATTTCCTTTTAAAAGCAGATGAGATCGCAATTGAACTATACAAACCGCTCAAATAAAAAGACTATTAAAGCGCTTGATAAATCAATTTTTTTTAATTATGGAGAAAAATTATAACAGATAATCAGACCGCAAACGAATAAAACAAATTCATGAAATATATATAATTCAACACCTTGGTATTTTAACATCAAATTTATTTATAAAAAAATCAGCATATAATTTTATTAATTTAACCAAATGTTCAATTAATAAAACACGAGCGTCAGCTCTTTTTTAATTAAACCTGTCTTTTTTTTTTGCTATATATCTATATTGGAATGTAGTAGCGTTTAAGAGAGGAATAAAAATGTGATTTTTTATTGATTTACCGCAAGATGTTCGATTACACGATGAGGAATTTTCTATTTATTATTTTACGAAGACAGCCAAGAAAAACATGACCGGGAAAATGCGGACACGATAAAAAGTGATTCCTTCGAGAATCTGCGCAATCTTACGACGTGGTGCGGTGCAAAAGTCGCGAGTTTCCTGGCGAGACGTAGTCACTCTAAATCCGATCGATTGGCAATTTCGTAGGAAAAGAGAGTGCGACGAGCTGCTTTTACTTCGTTCGGCGAACCGAGCGACTCTTGTAAACGGATTGGCTTCCCTCAAAGTGTGCATCATCAATGCTTATAATTGCTCCTTTTTCGAAGCTGCGAATGAACCACTGAGAAGGGAAATCTATTATATGCATATACGGTATGTATGTGAATATTTATAAAGGACTCCGCATAATAAAAAGAATAGAGAATAGAGAATAAGAATTTCAACCTATCAGAAACTGTGTATTCCACAATACATGATTTTATTGTGCGGAGTCCCTAACGCTCCACGAGCATTGATAATTTACTAGACTATTCTAAAGCTCAATTAGAGTCAGAAATTCTAATGTCGAGATAGTTTTCACATACAAGCGATCAAAATTAGCTAATTGATATCATATAAAGTTCACGTGCCCTTGTAATTATTGCGCTTATGTACGAATCCATTTGTCATCGGATATCGATTTATAGCTTATGATACTGATAATTTCAGAAATTTAATATTGCTGAATTTAATAATGAAAAACAATAGTTAATTATTTATTTCATATATTAAATGTACTGTTCGTTGCTTTTAGTATTTCAAATAAATAATTTATTACTGCCTTTCAGTAATAAATTGGCCAATATCAGATTTTTATAAGAGAAGTTAATCATTAAAACAAATTTTACGTGCCAATTATTTAACTTTGTTAAAAATAATTGAATAATTAATATATCGTTCTACTTTAATGAAATTGATAAATTATAATATTAAACACACATTTGAAGAATAAAATTTTTACAATTAAAAAATAATAATTAAATAATTTAATATTTCTCTTTGTTAAAAATTGTTACGTTTAAACGGTAATAAAAATTGTATTTGATTTCCTTAAATTTAATTTAAAAAAAGAAATAAATCGTCTAATTTTTTGTGACAACTGTGAATTTATTTTGCTCGATTTATTAAATTATCATTATTAAAATACGTTATAATTCTAAAAATTTTATATAATGTAATAATTATAAATTAATTTAAATTCTAAATTAAATATTTTCTCGGGCAAGATAAGCTAATTATTCAAATCTAAAAAAATCAATCATCTTATTTTCATAATATATTACTAATTCTTTGTTTCAATATATCAATTTTTATTTTGTCAAATTATTATTGACTATCTCGATTGTCATTTCGGTTATTGCAAATACTGTAGGTCTTTACAGTAAATAAATCGAACATTCCAGTTCGTGTATCTGCGAACAAATGGCACTTAAAGTTTCGGAAGGAGCAAAGTTCATTTTAGCGTCGCCGCAACTTTTGCTCGCGTGGATTTGTCGGCGATTCGCAAGTTTCTAATTCCTGAGTCGTATTAATGGCAAGCATACATTCGCAACAATGTTACTTTTGTTGCGGTCGTATCCACGTGGCTACGAGTAGTTTTCCCGGTAACACGTCACCATTGTCACTCTTCAGTGAATTGCCGCGGTCGGACCGTTGACAACAATTCAACCATTATGGGATCACATAACCAGGACAGAACCACGAAATTATCTCGTAAATCTATAATGGAGGTTCGCTAATTTTTCTTCGAAACGAACACTTCGAACGTTTAATCTCGAACTTAAAAAAATGTTTAAAAATACAGAGAAAATATTATTAATTTTATTTAAAAATTCTCTATATAACACATGAAAAAAAATTACTAAATCTCAATTAAAATATTATTTCTTTGAAGAGTACTAAGTAAATATTATATTTACTTATGATAAATAAATATTTATTCAATAAAAAATAATAGTTAAATCGAATTAATTTTTGTATCAAATAAACATATATTTACATTTAATAAATATTTATTTAAAACAATTCAAATATAAATATTTATTAAAATTTAGTTTTTTTTTCAGTGCATATACTATTAAATAATAAATGCAATAAATTAAAAAATTTAGTTGTAAAGAAATGTTTCTTAATTTTATTCGTGTGTTTCACATGCGTGTTATATTAATTTTATATTTGAAAAAAATCGTAGTACTCGTGTCTAGAATTATTTATTCATCTTTTTTGTAAAAAAGTTTTGTAAATGTATTATAGGTTCTTAAAAAAAGAACGTTTAATGATCTCGATCAGTACATAGAAAAAAAGTATATAGAGAAAAAGATATTTCAATTCACAAAAGACAATTGTGGCGATAAAGTATGAAATGTGGTTGATTTTTATAAAAAATTCGTGGACGTCAAATGACAATAGGGACCATATGTTATGCTTCGCATCGGTTGACAAAACGCGCAACTTCGACGACACGATTCATCGCAAAATATGCATACATGCTTTCGATATATGTATGTACGTAATGTAAATCGAGTCCAGAGGGTTGAATTTTTTAATTAAAAAAATGGCTTTAACTATAGCTTCTATTTCAATATTTTTTTTATTATATTATGATCTTCTGAATAAAAAAATCTCTGCAAAGTAGAAGTAGCATAAAGATTAATAATTTTATCTAATTATGTAATTATTCAAATATAAATAAATTGCCTATAAGCTTCCGCGGTTTGTGTATAAATTTATACGTATTAATTTACCGCGAACACATAGAAGCAATTTATTTATATTTGATCTATTCTTGAAACCACAACATTATTTTATTTTAATTATATAATTATTATTCATTGAGAATAATTAAATAAGTACAAGACGAAATTAAAAATTATTTCTTAAGCAATGTCTGATTTCACCGTTTCTTAATAGAAACTTTAAAATAAAAAGACAATGAATAAAAAAACAATTAAATATTTTTCAATCAGCCTTTAATAGTTACAAATATTTTCGTCAAGAAGAACTATTATAATTTCGCGATGAATCGTGTCGACAAAATTGTTTTGCGAACCGATGCGAAACGTAACATATGGTCCCTATGATTCCTATTGTCATTTATTGTTATTGTCCACAAATTTTACAAAATATCAACCACATTCCATACTTTATCGTCACAATTGTCCCTTGTGAATTGAAATATCTTTTTCTCTATATACTTTTTCTCTATGTACTATATCATTGATAAAACAACATAATAAAAATAATTGTAGACTATCTCAATAAACAATTTGTACACTAAGAGAACAATTTTTGATATTTGTAACTAAAACGACTATAATTGTAGTCATTTTAGGTTGCCAACTATATATATTGTATTTCTTATTAAAACTACATATATGATTGTTTTTATTATTAATATTATAACAGTAATAATCATAATTATTATAGTAATATGTAATTATAATTACAAATGCTAAAAATTTTTCTCTCAATGTAATTTCTCAAATATATCGAATGCTTCATTGACTATTCACTTGCTCAAAAACATAATCACGAGTCTAATTACGACAAAATATATCATGCCAATGTCTAATTTTCATTAAAGTATCGTGGAATCACGTCGACGACGGAATCTCGTCGAATGGAGGGACAATAATAGCAAGGTTTTACCCATACTGATGCCAGAGCTAGACGGATCCTCATTCTTGGCGCCCCAGCTGCCAGCCAGGTTGAGTGCCAGCAGCGGCCGTTCCTTCAGCAACTCAGCGACCGATGCCAGACCCTCACATCCGCAGCCTAAATGGGGCAAGTGCAACGCCTGCACTTGAATGCAGTCGCGAAGTGCCTCGCAGACCCGGGACACTTGCTCACCGGACAGATTCATGTCGAGCACCAAACGCGACAGACTACCAGAGGCGTGACTTAGGCCGCGACAAAGAGCATTCACCACGCACTCCAGTCTGAAATCAATCGCATTAATGACGGTGTTAATGGGACACTTAGGCATGTTCCCGCATTTTATCATCCAGTGCATTATAATGTCAAACTAAACCAATTAAAATAAAGACATAGAACATGGACTGTGCTATTCCTATCTAATTAAATATAGTCAATAAAAATGAAAATGATTTTTTGTATACCATATTATAAACTATATTATGTGTAACTAACTCATTTTATCAATGGAACATGATTTTCCATATAATAATTAGTATAAAATCTTTGTCCAGTCTCTTTTCATGGGGTTCAGTGAATTAATAATTTTCTTGTTAAATACACATGATGAATTAATTGTCTGTTATAAATTGCAAATATTTTTGGAGCTTCGTATACAAATTATATATGTAATATCTATTTACTCCGGAAGCATGGTTAATATTGAAGTATAATGTATATAATGTACATTTCGATTTGAATTATGGTAAATAAAACGCGAATGAAGGGAATTTCCATCGGTTACGCTAGCTCGCTCGCGTTACGCTAGCGGTTTTATATTCTGATATAGGAATAAAAACTGCAGCGAATCAGAAGCGCCTGACGTGAGGGATGAAGAAAAAGGGGGATGCGCATTCGGGAAGCTCGGCTTTCGGAGCCACGCGCAAGATGCAACCAAAATTCGGTTGGCGCGGTGAGTTAGCGGCGTGGAAGTTCGGCGGACTTGTCGGCAAATATATTTATGCATATGTAATGCGCATTTCACGCTGTCTATTCGCGGCGTTATTCCTCCAGCGTATCTGGCGCGCGCGTAGATACGCATTATGCAAAGTCCCGACGCTCCTCTGGGGAACGTTAGGCGAAAGCCTGGATTTTCTCGCGCGTGGTAAGCCGACAACGAGCGAGCGGGAGAGAACGCTGGCGTTGCACATCCCGATTACTCTCGGCTCTTGAAAATTGGCCCAAGTCAGTAGTGTAAGTTCTAACTAGCGTTTAGAACTTCTCTCTCTTCCGCGAAGATGAGGAGAACAAGAAGGATTCCTTCACACCTTCCTATTATTCAGAGACGACGTGTTATTATGCTCTTCACGTCGTCGCGCGGTCTAATATTAATATAAATTACGGACAAATGTTACATATATAATGGAAAATAAATGTAAGATTATTAATATAAGATTATTAAAAAGTTTTTCAAAAGTAAATACACTAATTGGCTATATTTAAACTCTTATTATTTCACAAGCATTGTTTAAAATAAAAAAATGAATAATTTTTTACTTAAATTTTTTTGAAAATTTTCATTTTGGTGTTCGAATTCGCAAATTTCAGGATTATACTATATATATATATACATATACATATATACACACACATATGGACATATATTCACACACGCGCGCGCGCGCGCGCGCACAACAAATTTGATATTTTTTTCTTCCCATTCTTCCTCTCATTTTTTGAGTTTTCTCTCTTTCATATATTCTTTTGCTTTTAATTCTTTTACCATCTGTATTATTCGCTTTTTTCTATACAACCGGTTTTTTAAATATTATCTGCTTCTTCCCATTATCTTTTCTTCATCGCTTTCTTTTATTTTGATTTTTGCCTTTTCTTTATAGCGAATTACGTTATTGCGACCGAAGTTTTTCGAAGCTTTCGCGCGGAATTGGCCGTTCCGCCTTCGAGATGTGAGACAATTGCGGGTGAAGCGCGCAAGCAGCGTATTCGCAAAAAGCGCAGGAGGGACGGTTAATAGTGCAGTTGCGAAAATGGCAGGCAACATTCTCGTAACGTGAATCGTAATATTAATCGAATATTTGCTCTGGCTTTCGACATTGTCGGAAAGTACGCAGGAAGAATTCGTAAACACCTTAGAAGGCGCATCACAGCAAACGTGATAATCCGCCGCATTTCACGCAAAAAGGGAGAAAAAAAGGGAGAACTTTCACGATGCAACTTGGCCACTTTGCATGATAACTGGCTTCAAACAAGCGATAAAATATCGCGAATTTCAAAAATTTCACTCCGTATCTCATTTGGTTACCCGAATAAAAAAAAACAGGCTAAAAGATTCTGTAATTTATTAATTTTTCAACAGAGTTAAAAGGAAAGTATATAACTTCGGATAACGTTATATATTTATTAAATAATTGAAAGATTACATAATGTACATTATTTTCCAAATAATTATTTTAGAAGGAGAGAATAAATTACACTTCACTTTATTATTCGTTAAGTGTATTTTTTATAATTTTTATTAAACATCTTCTATATAATTGTTTGAGAAAAATTATAGATTAATCAAAGGATAAAGAATATAAAAATTGGCGAATGTTAAATATCATTACAAGATAAAATATAATAGATACGCAAAGATATTGAAGTTGATAAGATCATATTGTGCTCGATTGTGGCTTTTATCTTGCAGCGCATGATAGCTTTAGTAATATCCGGAAAGAATGAACTCTTCAGAAATATTCAAAGCGACGATGGCCCGATCGATTCATTCGAATAGAAAAGATAGACAGGAATATTGACTCTCGCGCCACGAGAACAAAAGTGACGGCCTACGTTACGGAAAAGCGATTGAATGAAGCGTAAAGGGTTTGGTAAAGGTGGAACTGAAACAAGAGGAGAACGTTTCGACGCGAAACAATGAGCTGCCGCACATCGTCGAGAGAGTTTCTACGAAGCAAATGGTAAATGTTCGTCCCCTTTTATTCCTCCGCCTCGCAGTTGCATCGCGGAAAAGATACTACTCTCGTGGAGTTTGAAGAGACTTCGCGAGAAGAGTTGTATATTCGGGTTGGCAGAAAAGACCGATGACGAAAAGCAGAGTGAACGAAAGCCCTCAGTTTTTGTGACCGTAATCGCATTTAGAATCAAATACAATAAGGAGAGAAAGAAAATTCGGAAAATACTTTTGCATGTTGTAAATATTTAGAGAATATGATTACCTCATTTATAATTAATTCATTAAATGCCAATCAGATCTACGTTATTTGTAATCCAAAATATTTGGATTGAAGACATCATTTGAAAAGCATTTCGGTTCGACATGTCTGGTTTGGTCCAGCAATTAAAAATCTATTTGCACTTTTGTGGGAGAGGATTAAATTTCTCATGTAAAGAAAGTGAAGAATAAAATCGTAATATGTATAACGGCGAAGAGAAAGTCCCCAGGGAAAAGCTCGAGGCAACGGGATAAAACCAGAGAGATTGAAGCTGTGAGATTCAATAAGAGAGCGTGAAAGGGTAAAAAAGGGGAGATAGTAAGCCCGGTCGCAAGTTAAAGTTCGCGACGTGTCTCGTCGTTTTCTTTAATTTTCCGTCGTGACTCTTTCTCTTCTCTTTTTCTGCCTTTGTCTCTGTTCCACTGAGCTTTCTTTCGAGAACTTGTTATTGCCCGCACTCTTTGCAGAGAGTACATTCTCGTTGTTATGTGCTGTGCACATTTTTTTTTCGTAATAATCTTCTTTGCCTCCCGCTAAAAACGGGAATTCGCGCCACGCTCAGAATACAATATAATATTCAACAAAAACTATATGTTGTCTGGAAAATAAATTCCCCGATAAAGATGAAGAAGTGCTTCTTGATTTTGAAATTGAACGAGATTGAATTCTTAAGGGGATGTTGGAACGATCGAACTTGATCGTTGTTGACAGTAGACAGACTTTTCTAAATTTAAAATGTTGATAATAATAATATCTTTAATTCATCTCTTACATTATATCGTTTTGTCGTTCAATTGCGTACATTTATCCTTATCTAATATATTACAGCTTGCAAGATCTAATATTTACTGCTAGACACGATTATCGCTCTGTTTTTCATTTTCATTCTAAGTCTTCGTTAAACACACATATAATTTATAGTTGAATAAAAATCTTTTTTTAACTTTTAATCTCAGTTTCAGAAACTCAGTATTATTCGTTTATGTAATCCGACGGGTGGTGCAACGTCATTTTGTCTCTGTAGGAGCTATAAAACTTTTATATTAAAGAAACATTTTATTTCAGGTGATAGTTCAACGAGTTAAAAAATGTAAGTTTTTAATTTTTTATTTTAGATTTTAATTTTTTAAAATTTCATAAAGTCAACTACTCCATCTCTCCTAATTTTGCATTTATTTCAATTCAAAAAGAATTTCTGATTCCGTTCAGTCAATTCGGAGATTTTTATATGTCTGTATCGATAATATCGTCACCGCTGCAACTCTTTAAGCATAAAAAATCAGTTTTGTGTTCTTTCCACAAAATGGTAATATTTATGTAAAATATAATTAAATACATTTCATATTAAATCGTATGTATGTGACAGAACACATATAGATATATTAAAAATCTAAAAAATCATCTAAACTAAAATAAATAAGATAGATTAAAAACAGAGTAAGGAGAAAATAGAAAAAAAATAAGACAATAATAAATTAATTCAAAAATGTATTTAGAGAAAACTATTTAAGTATAGACATTTTAACTAATATTGTATTTTTAAAAATTGATGAGTCAAGTGGCAATTGCAAATAACATATTCTAACAATAATGAATCGGCGGCTATTCAAATTCCGCACGTTTGCTTGATCTTAAATTCGAGGTCGACACAACACCAAGTTCATCGGTGAATCGAGTGTTACGAATCCGCCCGTGGAAATACTTTCTTCGTCTCTTCAGGGACATGGAGAAAAGGAGAGTTAAAGCGTCTCGGTGGAATCGAAAAACATAAAACTTGTAATAGTCGAATGACGCCCGAATACGCGCTTAAAATGAAAGAAATCGATAAAGGTCGAGTGAAAACGCGGTAATGTGAGCAAGAAATTAAAATCTATTGCAAAGAACATAAACGAAAAATCTCAAAAAGGTTTCCTCAGAAGTACCTTTGCGTACTGTGTAATGCAATTGCATGGATGTACATCTATTATGCGCGCAGATGCGTAAAATAGTCTTATTACGCTCGATAAAGCAGCGGGAAAAATGTGGGAGTAAACGCAAACGAAAAAAATTTATGCATGAATCTTCGTCCATGCTGCCGTCCATGTTATCAAGTAAATCAGTAGTTTAATTATTGTAATGTAGGTAGCACTCGGCACACATTTATAGAAAATTTAGCAATGTAAATCTTTCATTCTAGGGAGCCACAAATTATCACTCTTTAATAACGGAAAGAAATTAATACGAAGTGATGACTATTTTTATTTTAATTTAAGGAAGATTGACGATAATGGCTTTTACCAATTTTTTTCGAGGTACCTAGACCGTAATTATTACAGTTCTCATTATGAAACCATCGTTGAATTTCTCATGGGTTAAAAACCGCAGATCGAGGTGGTCTTTCTCGGCAAAAGTTTTCTCGTTCGTGAGCGAGCCAAGCGCGCAAGTATGGGAATGTATATTCGCTCGATTCTCGCAAAGTAAACACGCTTTTTCCACGTCTGCCATTTCTTCGCTCCCTTCGGGCAAAGACAAATATCCTTGCGATGGACCCTTTCGTCGCCCTTCGTCGCGCGACAAAACAAATTTTTCAATTTTGACGTGAGAATCGCGCGAGCCTGATGGAAATTTTAGGGGTGCTTTTAGGGGTGCCATCGAGCTTAACAGTAAATCCTGATGATTTATAATATTTATACTATATGTTCACGAGCGTGCAGCCAAAGATCAATATTTAAAAAATTTATTGTTGTTACAAATGTAAGACAATGTATACTGATTATGATGAAAATGTTAATTATAGTGTAACTCATTACAAATTCTAGAAAACTTTTTATTTCAAATTTATAATTTATACTAAATATAAGTAATTTATTATTTTTTAAAAAGAGATTCATTTATGATTTTTTTCTTTTTTACAACGATATAAATCTTATATATAAGTAGAGAGATCTCTACATCCATCTATATAAAGATTCAAACTTTTTCATTAATTTTGTTCCCTTTATTTGTCTTTCTTCTTTTACTTTATCTCTCAACGTAGAAATCTAAATATAGATCTCCGTTCGCTCTCTCGTCTTTTACACTTCTTTTCGTGGTGCGAAAAAGCAAATATCCTCATTGGCCGTTTGTCCTGGCCAACCTCATATATGACCGAGCGGACAAGCAGACTTTCTGTAATAACTCTTCGTCATCGTCGAAGCTATCGATGGCGCCATATCGAGCGTCCTTGAGGTGCAATAATGCCAACACATTCGCTAGTTCTTTATTCTTCGAGCTATTGAGTCACGTAAGTGGATCCATGCGATAAGTCGCCCCGTAAAATAGTCCCATACTTTTCAAGTAGAAAGTCATCGTTATGTTTCATTGTTAATTGAAAAGTTTTATGGAACAATAGCGTGAGAATTTTAGGTGAAAGTTTAATCGCGGTCAAATAAAAGATTAATAAGTAAAAAAAAAGTAAATAAAAAGAAGCAGGGAAATGGCAATAAAAATGATAATAAAAAAAAAGGAAAAAAAATTAGGAAATATAGAGGGAGTCTCACAATTATCGTGCAATATTTTAATAATAGCATATTCTGGAGGTAAAATAAAATAAAAAAATCCTAATATGCAGAATTTGTGCAATGAGGTTCGTAGTTACACAGACATGCCCATTAATCTATTATCTTTTAGTAAGACGCATGTCTATGTAACCACGAGCTTTAGTTCGCGAATTCTAAGTGACATTATCAGTTATATGATCAGTTATTTGGTTAATAATTCAAAAACTATTATAACTTCAATATTTTTTTTTCATATTAGAATTTTTTACTCTATCTTCAAAATACACTATTAAACACTACTGTATGATGATTATAAAACATCTTATAGCAAGAACAATTAAGCGGATGAGCAAAAAATTCAAGGCAAAAATACTACACGAGCTTCCCGCCTATATACCAATCTCAGCAACTCAATTATGTGACGGTAAACATGGTAAACCCGTCCGGCGCGTTGAACATAGTTTATTCTCCTGAAGCGCGCTTAACAGGCAATCTTATGAGTTTGGAACTTGCCATCCTCGGAGAGATCGCGACAAGTGGAAGTTTAGAGTTCGCTTCGGCAAGTAAGTATATCTGTAAAACGACTCACCTATCATGGGCCGCCTCCTCGAGACAAGTGATGACAAGTTCGAAATCGTTGAGCTTCTTTTTGCCAAGCACACTCTTTAAATGTCCGGCCAATCGCTGCGCTTCATCTGCAGGGAATTCCTGTCCCAGCAGAGACGTGATCCTGACGAGTTTGACGCTCTCGTTGCCGGCGAGTGCATCGAAGAAATCGTCCAGATATCTTGGATCGGATCCACGTTCCACTTGGAACACCACTTCGAGCGCCTCAAGCGTGCAAGCGGGACTCTCGAGGATCCTGGCCCATCCTTCTAGCTCTAGAGGGGACGTGTGCACCAATGGGGCCGGAGGTCGTTCGTTGGGCGCGGGCCCGAATCCAGGGCCCGCGCCGACCAATCGGCAAACCGCTGAGATGTTGCCATCGGACGCGCCAGCTGCCTTTAGCAACGAGAACACAGCTCTGGGTGGCACTTCCAGCGGACATAATTGATTCAGAATCAAGTGGGTCTTAGGACCTAGCAAGCCGGCTAAATGACCGATGATGCCCGAGGGTAGGCCCTCCAATTCACGGCGCAGGATGTTGGCATATTGCGCCACCGAAGTAAGATAATACGCCGCCAAGAATTCCGCCACTGCCATATGAATAGGCGTGTAAAGATCTGGTTTGCGTCTTTGACCGAAGGTCAGTCCCCTCGTGAGGAAACCGAGTCGAGTGACCTCAATGCCTCCACCTCGTGCCCTTAGCTCAGCTTCCGTGTAACAGCATCTGCCCTCCCTTAGGGCAGCCAGGGACACCTTGCCGAAGTCCTCGAGACGCTTCCTACAATGGCCTGGAATTTCCTCGTTATAGGGAATCGGCGGGTCTAAGCTCCTTTTCACGATGCACTTCACCGCAGCTTGCACGAGAGCGCTTGTCTCGGTCGGTAGATTTCCGGAGTCCTGGTAAGCAAAATCATGCTCGTGGATCAAGATATTTCTATAGGATTTTCTAGGGCTCTCTACGTTATATTGTTTGAATCGAAAAGTGAACCATTTCCAAAAGAAATATACAAAGAAAAAAAATGTATAGTCACAATAAAACTGTCACGTATATATTCGTAAATAATGTAAAAACAATCACTTTAGACATTATTTAAAAAAAAAATCACTTTTGTTAAACTATATATAATAGAAATATTTATTAAAAATAAATTTACGTAATTACGTAAAATAATTTATGTAAAAATAAAAATTCGTTGCTAAATTCATTTTATCGTTAAAGATAATGCTTTTAGCGCACGCGAGTCTTTAAATAAAATTAATAAAAACTATCTGATATAATTCGATGTTTTATAATCTAATAAATTTTTTTATTTTCATTACAAGTTTTATACGATCTGTTAAAAATATTTTTCTTTTAAAAAATAAGAGACGTAATTTCCTAACTAAAATTTTTCGCATTGTAACTAGCAGACATTCGATATTTCTAGTTACAAATCTTACCTGATACAAGCAGCAGAGCATGATCCAACCGAGTGGATGCTGGCCGAGCTGCCTGACGGATTGCGGTTGCACATTAAGCGCTTCAAGAAATTCGCAGGCCTTCTCGGCGATGTCGTTGTGAATGAAATAGGCCACGCAGAGCCGCTCAACGTGCGGCCACTCGAGGCCGGCTAGATGAATTCTGCGTTGAACCAAAGGTGCGAGGGCAGTTGAGTTGCTAGGCGAGCACGTAACCAGGATCCTGGCGTCCGGGAACAATCGTCCCTCTAGGAGATCGGCTGCATCGCCGAGTGATGCTCGGCCGCCCACGCACTCATCGTAACCGTCCAGGACAAAGAGTACGCGGTCCTCCATCAGGTGCAAAGTACGCCATACCTGCGCGATCGCATCACCTAACGCGGCCGTTCTTGGGAACAATTCTCGTGCCAGGTAATTCAGGACGGGGCTACCGCGAAGCTCGCGCAAGGGCACGATAAATGCCAAAGCGGGACCATCGCTCTGTGTCGCCCATTGATGCAGTAGTCGCAAACAAAGAGTGGTCCGGCCACTTCCGGGGCCACCCTCGATAGCGACGCGCCGCGGCGCCTCGGATACGGTACCATCGCTCAGCTGGAAATCATAATTTGTTTCATGTGAATAAAATGTAATAATAAAAATTAGGAAGACAAGTTTAACACTTCTGGCAAAAAAATATCGATCGCTATGCACTTATCAAGATTTGATTATTATTATTATTCATTATAATCATTATTATAATTAAAATATTATAATTACAATAAGGTATTATAAATCAACATATATTTTGATTATTATAATTAAGGTATTATAGTCACGATTGATGTAGAATGTAAATTTGTGCAAAACACTTGAATCATCCCTGATCTGTTGATTAAATTTAAAAAAGTTGTTTGTTTGCAATTATTCAAAATTTTTAACAAAAAAAATAAATTGGAGCATTTCTCGCAGCGGATTAGAAGAAAACAAACATGTAACATTAATGTTTAATTTAAATTTCACGTAACAAAATGCGACAGCAAAATATATTATGCAGAGTTTGGAAAAACAAAATATATTATGCAGAGTGAAGGAAAAATAAAAAATGCTGTAAATTAACTAAAGCAAACTCGTAACAAGCGTCATTTACGTAGATCGCAGATGACTGGCCAACCAAAGTAGAAATATAAAAAGGGTTAATACAATGAATTATAAAGTAATAGGTTTTTCATATAGCAAAAATTTTTTCCGTATAATCGATAGTGCGAGAATAAGGGGAAAAAATTTAGTCCACACATTTCTCTGTAATCGACTTCTCGGATACTTCTTGGATTCCTGATCTCCAGTCAGAGCTAATTAGAACCTAACCTTCTTCGCGAACCTCTAATCCTTTTTAATAGATCAACCGTCATTTGGGATTTTATAACTTCCAACACCTTATTGCCTGTCACACGTGAGATCAACGTTCAACACTATGTCCTATAATCTGTACAATTAAACAACATTATGGCAAAATTATAATAATAATAATTAATAATTTCATAGTGCTGTTCTGACCATCCGTTCGTTTAACTGTCCGATTGCAAAATTTTTCAGAAATGACTTAACTTTTTCCAATTCTGTTATGTTTCGATATTTTTAACAAAGTTTTTTCAAGTTAATTACAGGTTTTCGCTGCACTATTTCGTTACAAAGGGTTTATTATATTTGTGAATATTTTCACATTGCTATATTTGTGTTATCTGCAGCCTTATTGCAAAAAGCTCTTTGTTCTCGATAGTTATGAAATATCAGAGCTCTAACATGCTCGCTAACAACAAATATCGCGCGGAGTAATGCTATCTGTCTACTTACCACCAATCTAGGACAATCCCTGATAGGACAGTGGTGTGTTCGTATTATGCTCGAATAGGAAGCAAAAATATTACGCGTTGCAGTTACAGCATTATGCAAACGATTAGCAGGAGCAGGCGATTAACCACGTTTGTTTCGCATCGTATAGCGTTGAGGGCAACGCCATTAACCGACGGTTAGATCGCCATGCCGTTGATGGCGGTGGCAAACGATCGACGATCGATATCGGTAAGCAGTATCTCGATTCTCGTAATCGATAACCGTAATCCGTAGTACGCGGCGGAACACGCAGCGTTTGCCGGTCATTCACTCTGTCAGCGATAATCGATCCGGTCGCGCGCGGCGTACACAATCTGTCGGTCGATGGATAACAGCGCCGGCCATTATACAGAGTACGATTGCAACATCCGGTTATTGGAATATTGACGGATGAAAAAGAGTACATTCGATACGAGTACATTCATTGTATAGGCGCGCTTCCCAAACAATTTTGAACTGATAAAATGTATATTTGATAAAACTTTTATTACATAAAGCGTATCTATATCAATACACCTGTATCTATACGCCGATGTACGAACATGTACACGTATGCCGGAGATGTTCAAATATTATCACCAATTCACTACCTGAGAGAGAGAGAGAGAGAGAGAGAGAGATTCAGAGATTCCTGGTTTAAATTTGAATACTTTTATTTAACGAAAATTTGAGTTACCTAATTTAATTTTCTCACTGTCTTCAATGTTAAATATTAGTGTTCGATAAAATATTAAAAGGCTTAAAGGTATGTACCAGAAGGATTGCGATTAATCATTAGCAGATTAATTGTTCCTTTCTTCAAAAGTAATAATTCAAAAAATTATGTTTTTAAGAAAAGGGAAAATCTATTTTTTAATTTAATAAAAAATTATTAACTAATAAGTCGACAAAAAAGAATACATTTTTAAAATTATGATTAAATGTTCATTTTCATTTCACATGGCAATCTTTAAAAGTTATATCCCCTTTTCAGATGTAATGACTTTGATCGTACAAACAATTTATAACAAGTTCGGAATAATTCATTAAAAATGGCACAACTCAAAAGATCACCAACATTGAAAAAAATAATCATACGGTTAAAGCAAAAAATTATCTAGATACGAAAAATTAGTTAAAATCGATAAATGGTTAGCACTGCGATATTGGATATGTATTGTAGCTAATCAATATAGATGACAGAGAGAGAGAATTTGTATCTGAACCATTCGTCAAATTTATCAAGAAAGTCTCTCCGTAACGTTTAATCAGATGACTGTGACTGTGATTCATATTTAGCAGTGATTCATATTTCATTACGAGATCTAAATTTTCTTGCATAAATTGTTAGAATATCGTATTATAAATTCTACCCGTATAATATATAATTTTCTATCAAATACAAGAAATAGCGATAATTCTAGCTGGAGCAGCAAAATATTTTTTTTGCGCAAACAGTTTATATTTACTTTTATCAGCTAAAATGATTAAATTAAAAATAAAACAATTTCTTCTTTAAACTTCGACCAAAACTATTTTAACTCTAAATCTAATTCTTTATAAAATTCTTTATAAAAGATTTTCACTTTTATTTACACAACTCAAAATTGTCATGCATTCTTGTAGAAGATATTAATATGATCTCTTTGAAAATCTTAAAAACGACGAAGTGCTATTTGGCCAACGGAAGTTAAGTTAGTTTACTTTTGCTGATTGAGTAACCTTTATTTAATTCGTTCATAGTAATAACTCGAAAATCATATTTTTTAGTCAGTTATGTCAAATGAGAGTATATTACAAATCCTTATTATAATATCAAACTGATATTATCACATCTTAAACATTTTTTATTAAGAAAGACGAGTTCAATCGTTCGACTGACGTTCAATTGAAATTAATTGATTCAAGCGTTAACCGAGAGGGATTAACGAAACGTCGATAGCATGACGCGGGTTTTTGATGAGATAATGCAACAACATAGATGCATGAAGGATCGTAAGCTCGTTACCGGATAATCCGCCGCAGAATAATTCCTGCGTCATGCGGGATCTACCTATCAATCCTTTGATAGAACCGCATTTGTTCCGGCCACTTCCAGCCGCAACCAATTTCGACGAGGAAAATATCCTGCAGAAACGACGGACGCGAAGTGCGTCAGGAACGGTCGCATTGGAAGGATACAGGGCGATAAATCCTTCGTTTCCGAGGAGATTAGAAAGTCTACACGCTCGTAAATATTCTTCGATAAACCGCAATGGGGAGGCATGTTGAAGGCAGACGACATTCATTATTGTATTACGTGAAGAGGGTCAAAGTGGATTATTCAAATATAATTTAATGAAATCATTGATTTCCCGTAGCAGCAACGGAGAAAGGCAATTTTTTTCAAGAGCAATGTGTGCTCTTGGAATTTTTATATAAACAAAACTTTTATAGAAACGAATTATTTTCATTTCCTCGACAGCAATTCTAAAAAAAGAAAAAACAAATTTAAACAATATTAAGCGAAAAATCGACTCTGCGACGAAACACACATAAATGAAAAATGCCATATTCAATTAAGGAAGTTTTTTTGTGTCTAATAATATTTCTTGTAAATTTATATAATTTCCAGTTCAAAGCAATCTGTGCGTCAATTTGTTGGTCTTAAAATATAATCCTAAACTGAAGCTGAAATAGTAAAATAACTTAAAGACAAACAATTTAATATTATTGAAGCAAATAAGCATCTTAGAAACTTTTGATTTAGGACAATGTTTTAAAATCGACAAATAATAGACGCATAATTTGCTTAAATTGGAAATTGTATAAATTCATAAAAATACATATTATTAGGCATGAAGAATTACTTTGACTGAATACGGTATTTTTCACTCATGTGTAAATAAAATTTAAATTGCATTGTAATTATAGTATCATGTATCACTTAGATATAATTTAAATTATGGAAGCTATATATATATATATATACATATATATAATTTCCACATAATTCTTAATTAATATATATTTAATACATAATATCATATTAAATTATTACATTGCATAATCATTACATTCGTTAATTATGATGCAACAGTAAATACTCGTACTCATATTAATGCAACATATGTATGTCAGTGCCAATTATTTCCCCTGGTGATCCAATTAGACGCAACAACAAATTCGTGAAGGAATGAGTTGAAAATGATAGCAGTACGTCCACAAATCTCAGCGAAAAAGATCGGTGTGCGCCGTATTCATGCGATACGCAAGAGATATCGCGCTTCATCCCGCCGCGGAAAATTTAAGGAGACAGTGATACAGGAAGCGAAGGGCATTTCACGAGAGCGATGTGTCTCTTCGCGAGCATATCGTGGAAAGAAACGCGATGGGAAAGATTCGCTACGGGATCGTGCCAGCCAGGTCGCGACGTTTTCAGATATACGTCCTCGCATATATCGGAAACGGCAGGCAGCGATTGGACGTGCATCGATTCCACATCGGCGAGATCGTTCTCGTTCCCTTCATCGATCTATCATCGATCCGACCGCGCAAACCGACGGAATATACAAACGCAGCGTCGGCTTCTCCGCAGAAAAATCTCTGAAATAATAAAATGCAAACCTAGTAGCTCCTATCCATAACATCGACGCTTTTGATGTAATTCTGTGTATTTTTTACTTCTAGACTACGTGAAATTTATGAGGATGATATATCCTAGCATTTCTCTTCGCTACTCTCATATCGCGAGACCACATTTATTAGTGATCGCAATTATTCATTTTCCACGCCCTTTTAATTTATCGAAATCGATAAGAATGATTTTTTTTTCTATTTTTAAAAATATTTTTCGTCTATATCTTGCTAAAATTGCTGTATGATGTAGTTTTATGATTATATAAAGGAGTCAATTTTCGAGTATGTCCATTAGCGAAAAATGGCCACGTTACTCGATCCTTTATTGCATGAAAATTTATAATAATAAAAATAATTGCACAATGTTATAATAACATATATAATAATATAATAATATATGTAATAATATATATAATAATTTTTTAACAATTTGAGAATCGAATACGACGATTGCATTTTTGTGAAATAAACAAAGTCAACGCTATGTCGATATTTTTGTTGAAAACTTCGACAAACAGCTCGATTCGAGGGTCTTAATCATTCGTTTTTTCAAGTATCGACCTCGGTATTTTGATTCCAGCAACCTGGTGAACGGCAACAGGATTTTTCCACGAGTTATGTTCAGTTCTCAGGGACTCGTATGTTGGTTTTGCTGGCAATATACACTGATTCTTCATCGGTTTTATCGACGAATACTTCGATAAATTTGAGAACGCATATTTTCGAACGAATAAACCACGTTCTATTTATATAGCGAAAAAAAGATAAAAAATGTTTGTCAAATGATGTAGTTTTAAAATATGTATGTAACGTATATATAATCGCGTATTTAACGCTTCAAAATTGATTATGTAAAAAAGAAACATAATTGCTTGTATTATTTATTAAAATATAGAAAAATCATGAGATAATGGATTATATATGCGCTACTTTTTCCACGTAATATATCAATTAAAAATAAACTTGATAAAATTGAACACATGATATTACGAAGTTTATATTAAAAAAAATTATATATTATTTAAAAAAAATAACATTACCTTAAAATATATATTCTATTTATAATAAAAGAAGTTACTGTACTTATATCGTATTTTTAAAAACATATTTTATGTAAAAAATATTTTATATATCAAAGTCAACAATTCACATCAACAATTAAAAGTCGTAGAAATTGTATTTGTGAAATAAGAATTTTTATAAGATTTTTTCAAATATTTTTAAATAAATACTACAATATTATCTAGGTACAATATTATCGAAAAGTTTTTTCCGAAGTTTTTGTCTCCTTGCATTTACATGCACAATCTTTTTTCGCGTCAGTTCTTTAATTTTTGATAGTCAGGAAAATTGGAGTGCATGATGAACCGCAAACGCGAATATATTTGGCGGTTCTAAGGTTCTTAAAGAGTAGTTCTATCCTCGTCCTTTTTCACGGTAGAAACAAATCGGTTTTACGATGCGGATTCATTCCCGTGCCGCGGGTGCGCGTATGTGGTTTCCCAAGCCCGGTCTATGTGCTTGCATCTTCTTTCTTTCCTACCCTACATATCCTACGTATGTCCCGACGGTTATGAGGCTCATTTTTCGACGCAAACGTTTCCGGGCGACGAGGCACATTGTCTGCATTTTGTGGCTCTTTACGTTACATAGTCGTGATACGATATATATTTATTGAAAGTAACGTAAGAACAAGAGACACAGGGTTATTTTATTAAGAGAAAAAGAATAACAACGATAATGAGTTCATTTAAAATAGCATTAGAAATATTTCGATTTTTTACTTCAATAAGATATGTTTTCTCAGATACATATCGTTTTATTAATTTATACGTAAAATAATAAATTAAATAATAAACAGATTAATTAAATAGATTTCATCAATGCAAGTAAGATTAATAATTAAACAATCGTATTTTTTCATAAACTTTAAATTAATGTGTTTTTATACATTGTGAATAATCACTATACAAGATCATGATTTTATTAATTTAGTTTTAATTTATTAATATTTACAATTTCTTGTTATAATGTAAAGCAATCGTTCTATATTTTCATAATTGTTATTTTCATTTGTATAATTATTTTTCATGGTTACTGCATTATATGTATATTTTCAAAAACTATTGTGTGTTTTGCTCACAATTATAATATCGATGTGAACGATTTTAAGATTCGACGAAAAGAAATAAAACAAAGTATAGACTTTATTCTCGCGTTTCGAATTATCATCGCGGTTGGCTTTTGCATCTAAGACGAAAGAACACGGGCAACAGCTCTTGAAGAAACGTTAACGACTTATCGTTCTGCGACAGAACAATACTTCATTACGCGATACAGAAGAAGGCCCGACCGATTGGCGTCTCAGCGCCACGATCAAAATCCCCTTTATCCGAGAAACGAGAGTTAGAGCGACGGAGATATTATCGCCTGGACGTGAATGACCGTTTGCAAGACGTGAGAACTGCGCAAGGAACTTGAAGCAGTATTCACCCCTTGGCACTACTTGGTGTGATCGATGGTGCTACGTGTACATCGAATTCGGATACATTCAACAATTTTTCTGAATTGGATATTACGACTCATCTGAATTTTAGAAAGTCAAGTTCATATCTCGATCTTCGCGACTTAATTAGTATGAGCTCATTTTTAAGCGACAATTTGTTAAATTTATATGTATTCTATTCAAAGCGTTACGAAAATTTGAGATTTGATTTCAGTAATAATTTATTAAATATATACTCTCCTTAATTAGACAGAATAGGAGAATTGCGAAATTAGAACCTGTAGAAACACTACAGGTAAACGCAAAAGATATTATTGTAGTATGTTGGAATAGTGATATTTCTCTCATTTTTTGCACCCAATAATAATTCGATATATCTACGTTTAGAATCACACTAAACATGTAATCATAAAACATTTAATATAAGTACTATTACATATTTCGATAATTGTAATGTAAGCGAGAATGAGAAAATTACGAATACTTAAAGAGAAAATTAAATAAGCCAACGATTATTTATCATTTATATGTAGAAGCTTCTATTTAAAGGATATTGGTTTTAAATTACAATAATTAACATTTATGCACTGTTAGATATCAAAGAAATAATAATAACTCAATCCTTGCAGTTAAATAACACATTTTGTTATTTTGAACTTCCATATATGTCAAAAAGAAAATTAATCCATTTCTGTAATTAGTTTTAAAATAAACAACGTCCGTATTAACATATGCACTTTTAGTAAATAATAAATAAAATTTGAGCCAATATATTAATATATTTTCTTGTGTGTTAAATTGTTTAACTTTATTATTTTAGATAAATTAACGACATATTAAGTAGGAGCAGTGGCCTACAGAAATAATTAAAAACAGCTCAATTGGGTATAATTTGATATTATGAATTTAACAGCGTATATTATTAATATAAATTATAATTTTAACAAAACCGATGCGGTATTGTCCCGCGTAGCGGCGGATAATTCCGGGCAAGGGTTTTGTTTAAAATTATAGTTTATATGATAATATATGAATGATAATTATTGTAGTTTAAAGCTGTATAACTGGAATATCTTTTGAATAAAAACTTCTATTAATTGATCAATAATTTTTATTTAACTTTTCCCTTATAAGTATTCGCAGTATCCTTTCTTCTTCACTCATCCCCTTACACATTCAATAAGTTTTTCTATTTTTAATATATCACTAAGAATTAATGAACTGCTAATCAACATTGTTAATGAGAGTTCGAAAGAAATTATTCAAATCTATTACAAATACATCATTTTCATTCATGATCGTTAATTCTTTTCTTTTACCTAATGAAAAACAAATGAAACTGATTACGTAAACCGATTACGTAAACCGCTGATCAATTTAATGTTACCAATCCTTTCATCCGCGAAAAAAGCGATTCGGCGCAATTTAATCAAAACAACTATCCGGCAGTCAAAGCAACTGCGACCATAAATCGCGAGCGCGCCGATTCCGAGTGTCATTGCATTTCACTCGTGGGAGACTGCATCGAGAGAGAGAGATCGGAGAGCGCAAGAAGTCGAACAGTCTCGTATTGAGAACTCGAGATAGTGAATCGCAAAGGGAAGAAAGTTCGCGAACTTTTTCACCCCCTCCCCTCTCTTTCTCTCTCTTTCTCACTCTCGCTCTGAGATTTTAAAGGACACCAACTTGGCTTTCACATTTCTGAGGGAACTTGCTCAGCGACGGGGCGACGACAACGAAACGAGCTTTCGACAGTCGTCGGAGGAAACTCCCTTGCGGTTTCTTTGGACATCCGGGACTCGACTTGCTGCTCGTCCGCGCAATTACGGAGTCGATATCATGCAAATTCGCGGCTGTCGACGAAAGATCTCGGTCTTCTGATAAAGCGCGAAAACTCGTATGTGTTCTGACATCGTCAAGCCAAAATATGTTTAACGTACAAATCCATTGGTCTGCTTATGATGTAATGCACATTAAAGAAAATACTAAATTTTAATAAATAATTGCTTAAATAGTTCTAACAATAAGTAAATATTTACTAAATATAAATATTCGATACAAAAACTAATTTGATTTAATTATTATTTTTTTAGTGAATAAATATTTATTTACTATATTTAATATTTATTTATTGTTAGGACCATTTATTTTATAGATATGTATTAATATGTACTTATTAATTTAGTAAATCGTTTTTTCAGTAGTTTTGCCTAAATTTGATGTATTTCTGGGCTATTTATCTTTCTATGTGTGCATAGCGACCGGTTTTTCGAAAAAATAAAAATTTAACTTTTTAAAATTAATTTATTCTACAAATTTCTTCACAAACATATCTCTCTTGTATATGTTTATAGTCAGAAATATAATGCGACAAATAAAATCACATATTACCAAGAATTTTTGATGTAATGATATAAATATTAATAATGTAAATATCTCGTTTGTACCACTTTCATTTATCCCAAAACCTCTCTATTCCTATATAAAACATCCTCTTCAAGTTTTTATTAAATTGTGTGCCTCTGGGCATGCAATATCTGTGCTTTGAACCGTCGATATAACACAATTATTGGATTTTAATTACACTCACCCTGACGGGAGCGAAGATCTGGTCGGGCTTGATGTTTTCGAGACGGTGTTCCTGCTCGCTCTTGTGCACCAGCTGCAGATGCGGCTGAAAGTGCGCCGGACAGAGGGTGCCGAGCGGTAGCGGAGACGCCCATGGTGGTAGATGGGGCGGATCGCGAGTGCCCAACTCCCTGTAGAAGGTCTTCAGGAATCTGCAACGATAGGGTTCGGTGGGGTTATTCAATCCGTGGGTATAGAACGGAAATTCTTCGAGCGAAGTCATAGAACGATGGTTCGCCAGATTCCGAGGGGCACGGATCAAGGGTTGATGAAATAGTTTTGGTGCTCCCAGCAAGATAGATGGGAACTGATAATCGCGAGATTCAAAGTATTGCATTGTTCGGAGTATAATGTGTTCAAAGTATAAGGGGGGGACATGGTAATAATAACGATGAATGTTTTAATAACTTTCGGAACTCACAAAAACTTGGGCAAATTTTCTGCCCGAAAATATTGATTATGCATAAAATTTCACTTTTCTACATAGTAAGAACATAATATAACTGAGAGGTGTATTTAAAATTTACATATAAAAATATTATTAGACAGTAAAATCTAATCTTAATATTATATTAGCCTTTTTCTTACTTATTTCATTTATACATACATCGTTTTTCATTAATATAATATAAACGCGCGAGTAATGCGCGTTTTTGGAAGAAAAAAAGGGCAATGAAGCGTCAAAATCTAAATCAAATTTGAATTAGACTCGATAAATAAAGTGACGCAAGAAGGTAAAGGCGAGTTAGGTAAAGGTTTAACATCACTCACTGGAAAGCAAGGAGCAATGTCAATTTAACATGAGTGATCCCCCCCATTTGCCAGGTGATCGGTAAATTTCCCAAGACGACAAAATGATGGTACAAGCAAAATGTTGGACGGTGCATTCGTGTATACCTCTCGCCATACAGATTGATGGATCTTGCAGGAAAGCCCGCAGGGCTATGAAAGTAATCAGGAGAAGAGCGTACTGATGGGAGGTAAGAAAGTAAAGCTCGCGAGACTTTTATGTCTTTCAGATGATCGGTCATAGAAGTCTGTTCTGATTTTATGGAAGTCATTAGACCGGATATCCGTCTCACGTACACGTCGCTCTCGTTATGTTCGCTCAAAACATTCTCGAATACCGCAAATTTAATTCACGCGCACGAATGCTTTTATGTACATTTATGATCCCGCATACCTGCGTCCGCTGTTCTAGAACTGCTTTCATTAACGTCGATTAAATTAACCAGAGTTTAACTAATGTTAAATTTAAACTGCAATATCGGTTACACTATACCAAAGAAAATTGAATTAACCACTATTACTATTTGATTAGAACAATGTTAGACTAATTAAAATTACAATTGTAGAACTGTTTCCATTGAAGCATTAAATTATGTTTGCGTAAATTGTGTTACATGAGAATCTTAAAGCGGCAGAAATAAAATAAACTTATTTGTAAGGCGTATTTAAAAAATTATGTAATATATGTATATAGATAACATATATTGCTTCTAAAGTCCAGTTTACACAGTCAATTTACGACAGAATTTGAAACAGATTCTATTATAATTTTATATATCAAATTATAATAGGTATGTAAAGTTGTAATTTATGTCATTTAAATATGAATAAGATACTTGTTTGTTTCTCCAATTAGACTACTTTACTTAAAGCGTTGATAGATTTTCAATGTTTATTACACCAGATACAATTGACCAGGATTATTTATACCCTGCGCGTATTTTAATGCGTTTTTTAATGTATAAAACTATAAATAAAATTCTGTCTCGAATTCTATTACAAATTATGCGTGGTCTTAATTCTTTATTATATAAATAAATAATTACACGGATTCATTAACATTTATATATTAGGTGTTGGAATTAATTCGTAGCGTTTTACAAGTGATGGAAAGTACTTTCATTAATGTATTTTTTAATGCTCATGTGAAATAAATAACATTCTTTCATTAAAAAACGCTACGAATTAATTCCAACACCTAATAATTTTCGAAAAATATTATATAGTGAACTACACACAAATATCTGTAACGTTTAAATTAATTATCTACCATTGTAACATTACTATAGGAAAGAGAAAAGCAAAATAAGCCAAAATTAAATTTTGAATTGGAATTGAGATTAATTAAAACGCACAGGACTTTGACATAAAGTTTCTCGTTGTGCCGCTACCAGTATCTATTTGTACCGAATGAAATCACCTCCGAGAGTATCATCTTATCCCGGAACAATGCGAACGTAAGCGTGTCGGCAGACAAAAACACGTCTAATGGAATTAGACTCTCTCTTGGACCGGGAACGACGATTTCGCCCCGGAGAAATAAGGATTTCGTCTCGCGTAGCTAGGGAACTGCGGACGATAGGATCATTGAACGAGTGACTCACCTTAACAGTCTTCCCAGGGGATCCCTCTCCGGGGATGTGGGACCGCCGAGGCCACTTCCGGCGCCGAGTCTACGCGAGGACGCCCGCGCGCTCGATATGTATGCGGCCGGCGCGGGCGGCGGGCTGCAAGGCGGACAACAAACGGGGCTGCTACCCCCTGGGGTTGAGAGAGTGTAACTCCTCTCCAGCTCCTGCAACAGACGAGAGAATGGCGGTTATGCAACAGTGAAACCTTGAGCTCTCGACATAATATAGTCAAGTCATATTCGAAAAGAATGGAATGGTTCCCTAGATGCTTAACCCATAATTTCTAATATTTTTATTCTATCAAATTTTCTTTTTTATTCTATCATTTTTTTTTGAGATTTAACAAAAATTTGTTTTTGGGATGTGACAATGATTTGTAATCATTTAAAATATGGAAAATGTAGAGTATTAAAAATTTGAAATTTAACGATATCAAATTCTTTGAATTTGAAATTTTTTGGAGATTACTATATAATATATTCCATAATTTTACATTTTTTGCTGTATATGAATTTTTATTAAATCTGGTCTAGATTTGCGTACCAAATTTTTTTCATTCATATAAAATATTTAAAAACAACAGCACTTGCTGCATTGGCCATATCTGAGATATCAATTGCAAAATATCAATCCACTTGCTAATATCTTGCAGATATATGTTTATATTTAAATTAAAATAAATTTTACAATTAATAATATTTATAAAATCATGTTGTTATCGACAGTCAGTTTGTACAATTTTTATTTATAAATGAAAAACTGTATTTGTTTGATTACGTAATATAGTATCTTCAAAAGAATTTTGTTTTTCGTATTAATTTGTGTTAATTTATAATTTCCTAACGTTTAAATATATTTTATAAATCCTCATCAGAATGTCGTGCATTCTGCCATTAGAAAGTACGTCAAACTATCAGAATTACAAACAGACTGAGAATGAATGACGGTGAGCTGCAAGAATCTTCACAATGAAGGTGTAAGTTTAAGACACTAGTACGACCGAGGTGAAGAATCGAATTTACGATTTCGAGAGAAGTCGAGAATGAAACTCCTGGATACGAGCGAGCGTTTGATTTTCGCTGTTTTCGGCGGTCTAGTTAAACCTAAGGATTTAGTTTCGGGAAATTTTCAAGCAATTTTGTGAGCCTGAGCTTTATCGCGCGCGCACTTTCACATTGTTAACGGAATTCAAGGATTAAACTTCGAAATTGAACTCGACTCTTGAGATTTACGAGGAGGCCGATGGTCCCGACGACGCCTCCTTTTGAATTTAATTAACGCACCGAAGTTAATTTCATTTTTCAGTTGTTGTTGCTAGAAAATAATATATAGTATTCAAGAATTTAGAGATTGCTCACATTCAATGATAAAGTATTATCAAAAGTAACAAAAAATTTAGATACGTTAAGATTCGAAATATAAGATTTAGATTTAAACTTAAAATTTAAATTTAAAAAACTTTAAGATTTTTTAATTTTACTTAAGATTTGAGTGATTTACAGATTAATTATGAAAACTGACTATACTATATTCCATAATTATATGTTCCCTTGTTTGCATACGTTTTATTAATCTTCCTTTGTGTAATCCTGCGCATAATATTATGTGCGAGAGACCTCTTTTATCAACGAGGACACGCGTCATTAAATTGGAATTTTCATAAAATCCAGCGAATAGAATAGCTTCAATCGCGCAAGTTTATTACAACCTCCGAATGGAAGTAACTTTCGTTATTAACGTGCAACGTTTAACTTTCTGACGGCAGACCCAATCAAAGCTTCTTCTTTTCCCGTCGAGAATTTTCTCGGAATTTGCAGTAGACGATCGTTGCTAAATGGAAATCAGAAAACTTCGAATTGACTAGTCCTCCACGGTCGATCAAACGCGACTTAAACTATCAATCGTCTGCGAACTAATCAATATCCAACTGCTAGTCGGCAAATATTCCCGTAATTACCTACCTACGTACACTAATTCCCGTGCAATTCTTTTGTTTCGTTTAAACGGAAAAAGAGATACAAAGCGACTAATCCGGGAAACAGTACGTTTGTTTGCTTTAGTGATTTCATTTAAATCCCTTTCTTCTTGCAAATCTGTATTCATATATCACTACTCACGCAAGAGCAATCTTTTCAGTAAACGTACTATGTAACGAATAATTAATTAACCATGTTTATCTTGCATGTGTATTCTGTATATATATTTTGTACATATATTCAGAAAAGCAAAAGAGATCTCGAAATTCTACAAGACTGTCTCACATATCATCCTCATTATCTTCAGAAGAAAGAAAAGATAAAAGGGAGAGAAATTTATTTAAAGAAATAATTTACATGATTTACAAAAATACAATTATCTTTTCTATCTGTAAAAGAAAAAGTACTTCTATTATTAAAATAATTTAATATTCAAAAATCGCTATTTCATCTTTTAAAATAGTAATAATATTATTGAATTTTAAAAAATATGTTTTCCTATCGAATGCATTTCTCATAAAAGATCTTTCAATATTCTAACGAAAGTCGGATTTTATCCTTGTCTTAATTATCAACGAATGATTATGATGTGTAGAGAAATGCATTTTATTCGAATTAAGAAGTGGAAGACAAAAAGACAAAACTTGGCGGTGAAGCCTCAGTAATCGCATTATTCTCAGATATTAATTCCGCTGGAAGGCAAGGCTGCCTGTAACGACCTTCACCGGGCCACGATGTTAATTGATGAAATGAAACAACGAACAAAGTAGAGATCTTTCTTTCTTCTCTCTCTTTCTCTCTCTCTTCTCACTCAGGATTCCCATTAAGTTCTTGAAAACGATAGAACTTTTGCAATCCGATTACGAAGATAATAGTACATCTTTATTAAGGTTCCCTACCTTTCTTTATGTATTCCGTTCTATCCACTTTATATCCGCTATGTATAAAATCCATTTTATTGGACACAGATTTATTTGTCGCAGATTCTTAAACCTTCTTAAAACTATCCTCATTGTAATTTCATGTTACTTTTCATATTATTTATATCGCATAAAGTAAATTTGTAATTAAGCTCTTTTTTCATCTTTAATTTAGAACATCTATCTGAATGTCCAAATTCATGAACGAAGAAGTTAATTTTGTTTCTTTTGTTTCATTCAATTAAGAAACTGAACACCCTGGTTTGATGGAAAGACAGAAGCATTTCGTTCATGAATAAAAATTTGAACAAATCTGCTCTAAAACTTCATATTTATATCTATCTCTATTCCATTTTTCGATATGACATAAAATTTATTTGAATTATTACTTGAAAAATTATTTTATATTTACATTAAATATTAAAGACATACTAAAAACGTTCCAATTTATAATACATGCAAGTGATTAACTTCATAATTTATATTAGATCATTGATATAGCAGTTATCATTATCTCGCGCATCACCGGAATTTCCAGGCATCGTTAACTTTGCTGAGATCGGAGGATGGAGTCTTCTGCCTAGAACACAAGAGGCTGTCTGAAACGGAACGGCACAATGGCCGTCGAATACCACGAAACTATAATACTGGAACGGAACGGCAGCGGCTTCGACGATCAAGAGGGGTAGAAAGGACATGAGAGAGAGAGAGAGAGAGAAAGAGAGGGGGGGATGAAAGGAAGAGAGGGTGAGTACGAAGGAGTGAGTACGAACATTGGCATTAATCCGAGATAATTGCAGCCGTAGTAAAGATGACAAAGGAGGACCTACCACGTTTTCGATGCAAGCACGCGCCTTCTCGCGGGCGGACAAAGGACTGCCACCCTTTCGCCCTTTCGCGCTCCGTCGCGAAGCACCCTGAGAGAGGAAAATTACGCATCTTCGTTCTCATTAGCGCGTAAGATTACAGGTAACCGTCGAAATTATGGAACGAAAGGCGTATCCCTCGCGCACATGCGATGTATACCTGCATATACCTGTACGTACCAGCAGCGCACTTTGGAATTTACTTTGCAATTATCCGCCGGTTACATTAGCCGTTGCTCCAGCAGAGATAACGAGCGCAGGTAAATTTTCCGGGTGCGTCTAATAAAGTCATTACTATCTAATTAGGTGCGCAGGTCCATTACGGGAGCGATTTAAAGCAAGCGCACGCAAGCACTCAACTCTACAATATAAATGTCTAATAATTCTTTATATCCTTTAGTGGCCACTATATGAAACGGCTTCGGGTCGCATATTTAATTTGAGATAATTTGACGATACGTGTAGAACTTTTTTTTTCGGACGGTATTAGCATGTTTATCGCTAGTTTTATTAGCATATAAATAGTGTCTAAAAAAGCGAGAGAAAAAACCATTCGTGAGATCGTCGATTAAAAAATAAATCTTCATTTACAGCAAATATTTCAAGTTGTCATTTTGCCTCTTCTAGATAGTGATGTATTTTATAAATATTTATGATATACAATATTTATGATATACAAAGAATCTTAATTTCCAGTTCTATTACCTAATAATTCACTAAAATATCTTTTCTCGTATAAAGGATAACTTATCTCTTTTCAAGATGCTGCTTCTAATACATGCATTAGTTTTGCATTATCGTTCGTATTTAAATGCATATTTTAAATTTTTGTTGATATTAAATAAATCATAATTTTTAATTAAAATAAGTTCAAAGTTCAGTTTAATTTTTCTGTCATTTGCCGACGAGCAATGTTTTATAAACAGTTCTGTACAGTTCTACAATAACACGATATCACAATTTTGCTGATTTATTTAATCAATTAATCAATTTCTCCGCATTCATCGATTTCAATCATCAACGATATATCGCGAATTTTTACTACTAAGTACGCTGCGCTTCGGCATCACAATATGTACATTGCATTTCGAATGAGAGGATATTCGCAAAAGCAATAACGCTCGCTAATAGATAACGCCGACACGAGGTATGTGATATCGAAACCGAGCAATTAGTAAAACGTGCTCGGCATACCTTGCATAAGTAGACACATAACGCGAAGATGCACCGCGCCGCAATCAACGCGATAATTCAAAATACTTGTTAACAGCTTCATAAGAAACAACTAATTTATTTTTTATGAGAAAATCATTTCAGAATTGCTGACTTTCTAAAAATTTAATAACGAATTCTTTTATAAGAATCTAATACCGACTCTTTTCTGATTTGCGATTTTATAATT